GAAGTAAATGTAGGCTGTTTAAAAACCTCGCGATTGCTGAACAAGAAAACGACACATTAATTGTACAGTTGTATCGTTATGCCATAATTGTTGTATAATTATGATAAACGGTTTAATCACCCAAGTTTGAGCTTTCTGGCATTGTGACTGCTACTTACAAGTCCCGCGTCGCGTACACAAAGGCTACCAGCAAATTCCGACCGAATCATCTTAACTACTTGGTATTCCTATATAATCGAGTCGTCCCAACACGTGATGCCTTTTAACCCTTTGACGTGGTCCCTTACCGACTGGGCCATGTAGGATGTGAAGCTTCCAATAGTGACATTAAGAAAACTCTGTAAGGCGACAGTTACGAGGAGAAAAACATCAACAGCACTTTAGTGGTGTTCGTTCAAAATACTCGATGATTAGAACTGGTATACAGGCGACATAGGTCATTTGCCAGATATTGCATGTTTATCTTGCCAAAAGTTCACTAAGGGTATGATAGCGCAGTGGTAGTGATGTCCGTTATTACGAGCACGCTGCTAGTTCGCTTCCACTACGGGCCAACCAAGCTTCTCATCCCTCCTGGATCGGGAAATTGAAAAGAGACTTGTCTGGGAAAAAATCACTCTTCACAATCCAAATAGGAACGCTCCAGCCCGGCTTTCTCAAGACTCCAGGGAGAATTGCTCAACCAGCATTCTACGGCATTCAAGATGAAATGAAAATCCTCAAGCAGTAGTCGAAGTCACACTTAAAAGTTAGAATGTCTTCGTGGACAATGGATGCGAGGAACGAATCAAATGAGAGAAGTGCTGGGATCTGAACAGTAGACGTGAAGACGGATCAAATAAAGTAAATAAAATAAAAAGAAGTGCACTAATACTCTTCTACCAGGACATTTCCAGCACTGGAATCGATCGATATTTCATATACAATTTGCAAAAAAAGATTAAGGGCCGCTAATCATAAGATTAACGTGTCTTTGAGATTCAGTAACAAATCTTTTAGTTAACCTGGGAAACTCCATTTTTTAAGTCAGTTCATTGATGAAGCAGAGATTCATTTTTATTGAAGAATTATACATGAATATTTTGATGCATAATTTGTGGCTGATAGTTATCATGAACTGTCACAATTAGGTATTATAGTTTAGCCTTTACAAGAGGTTTTAGCAAAAAACGAAAGCTAGTACTGGTGGATTTCTCAGTGCATTAAGCAAATTTGAGTTTAAAAGGAGAAAGAGTAAAGCAAAGGCTCTCAGTGTGAAATTGAATGGTTCATATATCAAATAGCAAATAAAAAAAAACAAAAAGGTTGATAGGAAAGTGACTTCCTCATATAATCGACGAGGCACGTGTTTTCTTCAAAGTGGAGTGGCGTGAAAGCATGTGCAAACTTACTCCATGTTTTTTACCGTTGAAAAAAAACTTTCAGCAGTTGTCGGATAATTGTAGTATGAACAAAATCCAACGCAACAATAGAAAATTAAAACAATCCATGAATGAGTGGCGAAATGAAAGCTTAGAATATGAGACAAAAGAACAGTAGAGTTGACTCCAAGAGAATTCGAACGCCCCTACGACGACCACGCACACCTTGGGCGCACGTGTTCTTAAACAAAGTTAATCAACTGTACTCGCAGCTGCAGTTGTTTTACAAATCACAGTATGAGACTCGCAAGCGCTACCATGCTCGAACAAGACCCCCACTATAGACTACGATTGCGAGAGAAAGGAACGAATGGCATATGTGCTGGGGTCCGCACAGCTCGTGAAGACGGACCGTCCAAGTAAGTAAGTAAGTAATCGTTTTAATAGGAACAGTGGTGACGCGTGTAGCTAAGTGAGTGGGAATGCCATAGAATACACACGGGGTCACTCGTTTGACCCCTTTTGCTGCCTAATAAAGACACTGACTCTGTTCATTGACAGGGTGCTTTATGATTCTACGAATAGAGCCGAAAGCGTTGTGCATCGTTCATGGATAGATCAGTATCGAATGCTTATTATCTTGCCTTTTATTGTCCTTTAGTTATCACTAGCTCCCTTTATTCATCTTACAGCAGAAATCAAAAACATTAGATCGCTCAAAGTCTTACAGTATATGTAAACTAATTGACCTGAATGCGATCACGAGAACGGAAATTGCGATGGCCAGTAAAATCGACTTATCAGGCTGCGATTCAAATGTTTTCGCTGAATTCTGCGATTTCTTTCCGAATTCTGTTGGAAACGGCATTGGACTGACCATAAATTGAGCGCTCTCATGATTTAATAATTCTCCATAGACGATAACGTTTGTCACTCAAAAAATCGATTTTTTTCAGGAGAATAAAATAAAGACTTTGCAAGGCTCTAGGCGAACTTTCAAAAATTCGGGGTAGTCATACACCCAGAGGGCGCATGTGGCACAGTGGTAGGAGGCGCCCTGCAACGCCCACGTGAAATCCAACTCCGCGCCCATTGCCCACCAAGCCTCCCATCCCTCAAAGGTCGGTAAATTGGTACCAGACTTGTCTCGGAGGATAGTAGCACTGGCTCGATACATCGGTTGGCCACCGCCAGTCACTGTAAAGGCCAGACCTGCATTCAATCACCTCTAAACGAGCTTAGTGAAGTCGAATGCATGCCGCATCCCTCAGGGATTGAACAACGCTGAGAGCTTTATCTTTTTATCCATATACCTAGTGCATGTTATGCATATGCGTGATCGCTGCTAACCAATACCAGCCAATACTCACATATGAATCACATAAATTTTCTTACTAGCAATAATTCCTTCGTAACCCTGTTGCTACAGCGGCTAATTCAACGCTGAGGGACGGAGGGATATTTCAGTAACCTCATCAACTGTGAAACCTTGTATATCACTGCGCTGCCTTGACCAGCAACACCCATTATCGTTTGGAGAAGAAACTAGTCAGAATAAAACCACAATAGTGCTGAGATCTGAGTAAAACTTGGAACCTAAGGAGGGCTTTGAATTCATGATTATCCTTACGAGGGGTTTATGCGCTGTCCACTACATCAGCCGAGGCCTTCGCTTTGGCACTCCGCCAGCCACTTTTTGCTCTAAATCAGCAAAAATTTGATTGAAAAACAAACCAAAGTTGTAGTTGATGTAGTGGATTGCACATGAGCCCCAGTAGAGGGTAGATGCGAACTCGAGGCGTTCTTGAGGTTCCGAGTTTTGCTCATGTCTCAGCAACCTTGTAGTTGTAAATCACATCGTACCCTGCCGTAAAGAGAGGAGAAGCAGCAAATGAAACTAACTACACTTATAGTTCTGATGGCGAGTGGTGATGGCAGTGTGATGTGAGATAGAAAACACAGAGCAAGGGCCTCCGTGGCTCAATGTGCAATGCGCGAGCCCCCGGAAAGGGAAATCGTGGTTCGATCTGACCCCAGATACAAGTTTTGCGAATATCTCAGCAATGTTGTGGTTGATCTCGCATAATACCCTGCCGTGAAAAGTGTAGTAGGCAGTAAATTAAAAAACTAAACATTGTGATTTCGACAGCAACCTCGGCTTAATCACCGAGTGAGGATGCCTCATTCGAGGAGATGACTCACTAAAGAAGACCTGACTCGACACGAAGGCGAAGCTGCCACGTCGGGCGAATAACAAGTGTGGACCAGCGACTCGGTTCATCGGCTCCGAGGAAGACGAAGACGTCGAAACGTTAGCCGAAAATAAATATCATTATCAACCTCGTGTAAGCTCATCAAAGAAAGAATATATATTGATTAGTGATGCTGAGGTTCAAGGAAAGTTGGTTTCGAAACAATTATCAGTTATTTGAAATTTTCGATTTTGAATAAATGTTCAAATGAAAGTAGAAAAAGCAAACTACTCTCGGCGATTTACGCATTTAGACAGACCCATATGGTCACGATTTTGTAACTGGAGCATGTTGCGTCTGTCTCGAAAGTTCCAGTTAATACTATGCGGCGGCAGTTTCACTAAATACGTCTACCTTGGATGGAAAGAATAAAGATTTCAAAGGAATATTACTCCGGATTAATTATTTCTACCTGAAGCTTCGCTTATTTTCTCGATATTTCAACATTTGCTCTGCAGTGATGGGAAGATTAACATATCAGACAATCCGATTGTGAGTGCCTTATCGGACGTAGTTCTCATTGTTGACACCGAAGCACCATAGCGTTATAGTTAACACCGTTAACACTATGAAATAATCAGGCAACTAAGCAGGTAGAGTGCAACGCTGATAAGGCTGATTTCAGTCAAGTTTTTGAGTTTGTAGAGCTATATCTTCTTTGTATTAACGTTAACCTTCAAACCACGAGAGTGAATACAACCAGACAGGAACAAGTTACACAATTTCCTCTGCGAAAAATCATCTCTTATTTCTTAACTATTTTTGCATATTTTACAAAATTAAAGAAGGTGAAAGCATTTCTGTTTATTTGGATAACTCTTAAATTGAATTACTCGTAACGCTTCTTCTGACTGTTAAAATGCCACGTGCATAAGGCAGAGGAATCATATCTTTCACCATACCTGAGAAGAGTCTCGATATTTCCGGTAAGAAGGCTAGCTAAGAGTGAGTCAATGGTAGGAATTACCGTATTCCTAGAAGAAGCCTAATAGACATGTAATTGACATCCTCTTGATTCACGATAAGCGGCCGCCGTTTATAGAGTACTCTCTTTATGTAGAAGTTCATAAGTTCGACTTTCTTATAGCCTTGGCATGGATCAATTATTCACTGCTTTCTTTGATGAAGAAACACGACCATGTTGTTGCAATATTTATTAATACGCAATAGCTCATATTTCGGCGGTATCGCCTTTTTTAGAGTCTGAAAAGTTCAAATTGCCATGCAAGCAACTCAGCCAAACAATTTCACAGCCTTTTGATACTTGATATTTGGATGGCCCGCCTTCACTGGTTTATGGGGGCTCCTGAGCACAACAGTGTCGCAGCCATGAATATTCCCCTCAAATAAAAGTTTCCAAGAATAGATACACAAACTTTATACTAATTTGCTTGTCTCTCAGCTAACAAACAATTGTGCTAGACAGAAGTTTTCCTCTACTAATCTCAGAGGCATTTTTCCACTATTTTCTTTATCATTGCCTTGCCGGTCGATAAGTCCATTTAATGTTGTCAATGGTGAAAACCTACTTGGCGGCAACGTTGCACTTCCCGATCCCGGGCATCCGTTACAAGTTCTGGGATACTGTTCCGTCATCAGCGTGTAGTAAACCGAGTTGTCACAAAGATACGCCACTCTCGGACAGTCAGAAACACCGATACGCGGATTGACACGGTCGACACACGCTGAAACAAATTCAATAACGAATAAAACCAGCCAGAATTGATAGAGGTTTAGCACGACATCATCTTGTTCTGGGTGTAGTGGTGCAATTTGCAAGCAATCAATATTACTCGTATATAATGCTGAGATATTTGCCCTCTATATGCCCTAAACCTCTATCAATTCTGACTGGTTTTATTCGTTATTGAATTTGTTTCAGCGTGTGTCGACCGTGTCAATCCGCGTATCGGTGTTTTCTGCCCGAAAGTGGCGTATCTTTGTGACAACTCGGTTTACTACATGCTGATGACGGAACAGTGTCCCAGAACTTGTAACGGATGCCCGGGATCGGGAAGTGCAACGTTGCCGCCAAGTAGGTTTTCACCATTGACAATATTAAATGGACTTATCGACCGGCAAGGCAATGATAAAGAAAATAGTGGAAAAATGCCTCTGAGATTAGTAGAGGAAAACTTCTGTCTAGCACAATTGTTTGTTAACTGAGAGACAAGCGAAACGAAGGACCCGCACGGTGTGGTGGCGAACGCCTTAGCACCCAGAAAAGGTAGTACCTCGTTCATTCCGTACCGCAGACATCTGCGGTGCTGAGTATTGCAAATATCTAAGCAACGTTGTGGTTGTATTTCGCTCAGTACCCTGCCATTAAAATTGTAGTAGGCAAAAAAAAAATAAAACAATTGTTTGTTCTAAAGTTGCCATTTATACCAGAAGCAACATGGCAATTGACGAAATCTATGGATTCTGACTAACTATGACTACTGTTGAATTCACTTCAGCTTGTGTTGATCGTGTAAACCCACGTGCTGGCATTTCTGATTGCCCACAGAGAGCATGTCTCAGTAGTAACTCGGTTTACTTTGAGCTAATGACGGAACAGTGTCCCAAAACTTGCAATAAATGTCCGGGGACAGTTCATGCAACGCCGGCTGATTCAAATTAGTTTTCATCAGTTCGCTTAAACCGCAATGTCTGGTGAGGAAAGATGTGCTCATGAAAATCGAAATTTGCTTCTCCTAGATTGCACTTTGTCGTTATCTTGTCCATTCCTTTTAACACTATAAATATTGGAATGCGCAATGTTTTGATGTTTGATTTTCAGAAAAAAATGTTTTGTGACTGAGTAATGCTTGGCTTGATTTTATATTGTTTAGTTTGCCGAGATCTCATCAATCTTTACACAGCGTGTCTGATTGACCGCGGATGGTCGACTATTGCAGGAACACGTTATGTTTGTCGTATGAGACAGCAGTGCCCGAAGGCCTGCGGATACGGCGTTTGATTTCAGTGAAGGACAATTTTTGTATTTTCTAGTATTTTTGAAACACGTGCAGATTCGGCAAACGCAAAAGCTGACTCATTTGCTTCGCAAATTAGATCACTGACTCGAATTCCTTAGTTCAGAAGTGTTTAGTTTCTTGAGCTAAGTGAATAAAACTATTTTTGCTGCGTGTCCACATCACTGTAGATACATTTTTGATGAGCGAACAAGTTCCAGCGCCTAAATACTACTCAATAGTGATCAATGCATTTGTACAAATTCAACACTACCTATAACTCACGTGACTTTGTAACTCGAAAGACCGACTTTCTATAAACCTCAGCATAGATAGTTGATATATTTAATTATGTGCTCTTCTATGTGAAATCTATAACCTGATCTTCTTAAGCGGACGTGAGGTTGGCACAGATCTTCGTTGTCGTTGTCGTTCTTTTTGATGTTATTGATCGATGGCTGAAGGTTACGGCGACTTCGCCTTCCACAGAGCCTGGACGTACTTTATGTTAGAATACTTTTTATTATTCAGTGGAAAAGAAGATTAAAGTATTAATGAAGATCAAACTTTCAAATAGACGCCATATTGAACAGAAAGGCCACTCACCGTGATGTTATGTGCGGAACTGACCCACACGTAGTTCACGTGGAGTCGCGAGCAAGACACCCCCCGGGGTCAAAATATCATTTTGAAATAGGGCGCCAGGTCACGCGTGATAGTGAGGCATTCGTCTTTACGGTTCATCTTTGGATTTTTGAAATTTATCCAAAACGCCTCAAGAGGTTTTCGCGTTGATGTTTTTGATTCCTGCGCTAGGATCCGCACATTCACTTCAGAATCATCGCCGTTGTGCTTTTGTGCCCTATGCGTACCTAGAGGAGTGTTCAGACGGATTTTAGCTTTTCCATCTAGATATTCTTTTATGCGGACACAAAGTGATCTACCCGTTTCCCCAATATATTCCTCGCCGCATGCGTTACATGAGATCAAGTATATTATACCTGAACTCATGCAATCCCCGTCTCTCCCGTTAGGACAGATCATACAGTTTTTTGAGCTGCACAAACGATCATAGAGACGGTTTCGAACTAACTGGTGGCGTAGGGTATTGGGTAGGATGTCAATAATCGTTACATAATTTTCAAGACCACTTTTTCTTAAGCACCTCTTAATTGCGTGATCTACTTCTTTTGATATGAAGGGTAGCTTAAAGGGGTTCTTACTTACGTCCGAAATATTATTTTGGGAAACGACCCAACGTTTTCCTCTAACCCGAATGGCTTCTACTTCGTAGCCTTTGGAAATGGCAATTTTTCGTGCCAGGCTTCGCGATTCCTTCCTTTCCTCTTCTCCTGTACACACATTTTTAGCCGTACGATACATATTTTTGATAAGTGCTTTTTTCATGTGTGAAGGATGAGAGGAGAGGCAGTGAACTAGAATGATTTTACTACTTGGCTTGCGATACCATTTTGTTACATAGCCACTTACTGAGAGCTTTATTTGGTTGTTTAAGAATGGAAGCCAGTTCTCGGTAGGTTTTTCTCGTGTAAATTTTATATACTCTGACTGTCGGTTTAATAATTCAAAGCACTCATCCATCTGTTCTTGTGTGGAACAGATGATGAAGCAGTCGTCTATGTATCGACAGTAGAGTAAGAGTCGGTGTTCGAGAACTGGAGCTTCCACCTTAGACATGAAAGCGATGGCAAGGCTTGGTGCAAAACGATGCCCCATCGCCAACCCTCAAATTTGTGCAAAATATTTTCCAGACCACCTAAAGATTGAACAACTAAGATACTGTTTTAAGAGGGTCATTAGTTGCGCAATCGACAAACCGTGCATTTTTATTTTCTTTTCATGCTCTACGAGCAACTCGAGAATGGCTTGCATTGCGGAGTTATTGGACACGTTGGTATAAAGTGAACTGACATCGAATGACTCCATTAT